GCTACCCCGCGCGCAGACCACGTCGGCCGCCTGCCGCGCAACCTCTCCTTCGCTAACTTCATCACCAACGCCAAGCACCACGCCCACGCCGCCGCCCGCCACGACTGCGACTTCCCCGTCGTCCACTACGACGGCTCGCCTGCCGCCCGCCGCGAGACCCGCCGCCTCGTCTCCGAGGGCGAGCCCGTCCTCCTGCGCGGCGCCTACGCCCACTACGCCCGCCACGACGCTTGGGACCCGTCCGCATGGGTCGCTCGCTTCGCGCACATCCCCGTCACCGTCGGCCCCGTGCCTTACGCAGACGCCTTCAACCTCTCCACCCACCGCATGCGCCTCGGTGAGTACTACGACCGATTCGTCACTCGCACCGCAGACGCCCCGCTCTACGTCTTCAACAAGAACGACGACGTGTGCCGCGACGGCTACAACGTCCTGGCCCGCCTCGTCGCAGACGCCTTTCCGACCCCGCACCTCGTCGCCCACCCCGACGAGACCGGCGGCCTCTCCGGCATCCACTTCTTCCTGGGCAACGCCGGGTCCGGCGCCCCGTTCCACATCCACGCCGACGCCGTCAACGCCGCCGTCAGCGGCGTCAAGAGGTGGTTTGTGTACACCCCGAGGAAGACCGTGTACAGCCGCAAAACTATTAAGAGGTGGGTCGAGGAGGAGCTGGGCGACATGCCCGAGGAGGACCGCCCGCTTGAGTGCGTGCAGAGGAAGGGCGACGTCGTGTACGTCCCACTGGACTGGGGGCACGCCGTGCTCAACGAGGAGAGCAACACCTTCGGCTTCGCGCTCGAGCTGCTCAACCGGAGGGATACGCTGTCGCATCTGTGGCGATGAGCGAGACAGTTTCGATTACTGTATAGAGACACTTTTCGGTACCGAACTTTTAGGTCTTTTTATTTTTATAAATTCAAGTGCTTTAGGATAAGGTCGAAAATGTCCGTGGCAGCCAGCTGCGCCCGCCCCTCCAGCAGCTCCCGTCGCTTGGTGATCAACACCGCACCCTCAGTGGGGTCGGCGTTGAGATGTCCGTGGCTCCCGCGCACCAGCGTGGCGTCGAGCGGGATCAAGTCCATGAGGTAGCGGAAGCCCATCTCCTTCTGCGCGATCCTCCACGCGGCCTTCGCCATCGGGAACGCGATCTCCGGATCGACAAACAGCTCCACAGGGTCGTACCCGGGCTTGCGATGAATGTCCACGCACCTCGCAAAGTCCGGCGCGCGCTCGTCGTCCGTCCAGTAGTAGTAAGTGAACCACGCGTCCGGCCTCGCCACGCACACAAAGTCCCCCGCGCGCGCATGGTCGATCCCGTGCTCCCGCTTCCCGTCCTCGTCTAGCACCATCTCCACGCCGTCCAGCCCCTCCAGCACCGCGCGCACGTCCCCGCGATCGGCCGCCTCCTTGACGTACACGTGCGCCACCTGGTGGTCCGCGACCGCGAACGCGCGGCACGCGCCCGCGTCCAGCAGCTCGCGCCCCAGCTCCTCACGCACCGTGATCAGCCCGGCCGCGCGCAGCGCGCGGTTGATGTGCACCGGCGTGTCCACCTCCGCCATGCCGTACTCGGACAGCAGCACGACGTCGATGCCGCGCGCCTCCAGCCACGGCACCAGGTCGGCCAGCAGCGCGTCGATCTCCAGCAGCTCCGCGGTCACCGCGTGCGGCGCGGGCCCCACCTTCTGCAGCGCGTAGTCCAGGTGCGGCAGGTAGACCAGATGCAGCGTGGGCTCGTGCTTCGCCTCGACGAACTTGGCGCTCTCCGCGATCCAGGTGGAGCCGATGATGTCGGCTTTGGGCCCCCAGAAGTTGAACAGCGGGAACTGGCCCAGCTTCGCCTGCAGCTCGTCGCGCAAATGCGGCGGCTGCGTGTACACGTCCGTGAGCTTGCGGCCGTCCGCAGGGTACATCGGGCGTGGCGTGCACGAGTAGTCGGCCGACGAGTACATGTTGTACCACCAGAAGGAGTTGGCCACGGTGAAGGTGGAGGTGGGGTCGCGACGGCGGGCCTCTTCCCAGACGTTCGGAGCGGCGATCAGGGCGTTGCTCTGCTTCCAGAACTTGATCTCGTTGTCCTCGCGAGAGAACCAGCCGTTGCCCACGATGCCGTGCTTCGACGGCGGCACGCCCGTGAGGTAGGTCGTCTGGGTCGACGTGGTGACGGCCGGGAGCTGCGGGGCGATCGGGATGTCCGCGGCAAGCGAGAGATAGCTGTCCAGGAACGGGGTGTGCGTCGGGCTGATGAGCGAGCGGCTCAGGCCGACGACGTTGAGGACGGCGACGCGCTGCATGTTTGTTGGTAGGGGGGAGGTGGGGACGGGGGGGGGGGGGGGGGAAAAAGGGGGGAAAAATCCGGGGGGGGGCCGGGTGAAAAAAGGGGGGGGGGGGAATAGTGGGTCAATTGTAAGAGGGTGTTACGGTACCGTATTGGGAATTAAAGACAGTGATAACACGTGTATACGTGGGGACGTGTAATACACAGGTGATGTACACTGTAGTCCCCTGACGCAAGCGTTTACAGTAGCACGGGAGGCGGGACAGTCCGCGGGCAGTCCAGCGCTTGGGCATTGCTGGCATGTCAGCGCGTGTCCTACACACAGATGGGCACAGATGGGCACAGTTGCGCATTGTAGGTGTAAAGAGTGCGTTCAAAATAACGCTCAAACACATCCACAGTTAAAGTGACCTGGCCTGGCCTCCAAATTTAAAGTCCACTGTACAGTACCCTTGGTACCATCAATTAGATACAGTACACACCACTTGCGTTTCGCATGTCACACGTGGCGTCTCCCGCCATTTGCATACTGTAGCGCCGCCCACGGATTGGGCTGCAACATTTTACTCCGGCTGAAGGGGAATTTTCGCTTCGCCCTGTAAACTTTACGTAATCCGTACACATCGCCGCTCGTCCGTAGAAAGGGGACGGACCTCTCCCTCCTGCCACAATCCCCAGTCCCGCCCCCGCCCCGCCCCGTCCGCCCCACTGCCGCCGCCACCGCCACCATGACACCCTCCATCTCCACCGCCGCGCCGATGCTGCGCCATCTCGTGCAGCTCTCGCGCGCGAAGATGACCGTACTCTCGGCCACCACCTACCTCGCGGCCGCGCTCCTCGCCCCCTCGCTGCACCCGCCCACCTTCCTCCGCGGCTGGCTCTTCATCCTGCTCACCCAATTCGCCACCCACTTCCTCGGCGAAGTCTACGACCTCGCCTCGGACCGCCTCAACAAGCACGCCACCCCGCTCACCGGCGGCTCCAAAGTCCTCCTGCGCCGCCTCCTCACCCCGCTGCACGCCCTGCGTCTCGCCCGCTTCACCTCTCTCCTGGCCCTCCTCTCCGTCCTCCAGCTCCCCGCCCGCGTGCGCCCGCTCGCCCTGCTCATCCTCTTCCTCGCCCTGGCCTACTCGGCCCCGCCCCTCGCCCTCAACCACCGCGCCCTGGGCGAGCTGGACGCCGCCGTCATCACCTCGCTCCTCGTCCCGTACTTCTCCTTCGCGCTCCACTCCCCGCCCCCGCTTCCGCACCCGCTGCGCCACCCGGCCCTCCCCTTCCTCCTGCTCCCGCCCTTCCTCGCCAAGATCGCCCTCTTCCTCGTCCTCAACCTCGCCGACCGCCGCCCGGACGCCGCCACCCGCAAGCGCACCCTCGCCGTCGTCCTGGGCCCGCCGCAGACCGCCCGTCTGCACCTCCTGCTCATGCGAGCCGTCTACCTCTCCGCCCTCCTCCTCGCCCTACGCCTCCTCCTCACATCCCCGCCCGCCGTCGCCATCCGACATGCCTCCGTGCTCCTCTTCCTCCTGCCCTCGGCCCCGTACGGTCTCGCCATCTCGCGTGCCCTCGCAAACCCCGTCCCGTACCGCCTCGACCCCCTCCTCGCACCCACCCTCCTCCACTCCACGTTTCTCGTCTGGGGCATCTTCCTCCACGCCTGGCTTGCATCACTCCCAACCGCAGGCCTGCTCAACTTCCAGACCGTCTTCGCCGCCCTCCTCGCTTACTTCACATTTCACAACATCTTCGCCGCACCGCGGCGCCCCGCCCCCGCCGCAACCGCCGACGTCGACACCGGCGCTGGCCCCAAGAAACTCGACCCGGCCCTCACCCCCGCCGCCTCCGCCGCAGGCACGGGCACATCCCCAGACCTCACCCACGTCTCGCTCGACCTCAACCGTCTCCCCGCCACGCCGCCGTCAGCTCTCCCGACAGACTGCGACGTCACCGTCGTCGGCGCAGGCGTCGGCGGCTTGGTCGCCGCCGCCACGCTAATCCGTCTGCGCCGCCGCGTCGTCTTACTGGAACGCCGCACCTCCCCCGCGGACGCCGGCGCCGGCGCCGATCTCGCCCTCTGGCCGGCCGCCATCACCATCCTTAAGACGCTCGGCGTCCCTTCCGACTTTTTCGACACCCACTGCTTCCCGCTGCACACGGTCCATCTATGTAACATGCAGTTCTCCGCCCCGGGGGGCGTTGAATCCCCCGACGCCGCCGCGCCCGTCGCCACCGTGCTCAAGACCCTCAACATGGACGCCGTCACGCACGGAACCGGCGAGAGCTTCGTCCTCGTGTCGCGCGAGCGGCTCATGCGCGAGCTGCACCGCCTGGTCCCGCTGGGCGTCATCGTGTACGGCGCGGACGTCATCGGCGTCACCGAGCACGAGGACGACGACTCTGCCACTACCACCTTCCGCGTGTCCGACGACGACGACCCCGCCGCCATCCCGCGCAAGACCACGCTTAAGTCGCGCATCGTCATCGCCGCCGACGGCGCGCGCTCGCGCCTCCGCAGGCACGTGCCAGCCCCCGACGCCGCACCCGACGCCGTCACCTTCTGCGGCGAGGTGTGCTACCGCGGCGTGCTGGACCTCTCCGCCGGGGGCGTTCATCCCCGCGTCGCCGCGCTCCTCCCGGACCCCCCCGCCGACCGCACCATGCGCATCAACTACGGCGCCGGCCTGCGCTCCTCGTTCGGCCACATGAGCGCGGACGGTTCGCAGGCCTACTGGTGGGTGAAGATGCCTGCCGCGGAGATGCCGCGCACGCGCACAAAGCTCGACCCCTGCCCATGGCCCGAGCCGCTCAAGTCGCTGCACGACGCGACGCCCGACCACGCCTTCTACATGCACGCCATCGAAGACGGGCGCGCGCTCCCCGGCTGGAGCTCGCCGCGCGTCGCACTCGTCGGCGACGCCGCGCACGTTGTCACGCCTAACATGGCGCAGGGCGCATGCCTGGCTGCCGAAGACGCCTTTGTCCTCGCGGCGGAGCTCGCCACGTACTGGCACTGGCCCGATGGGCACCTCGAGGCGTTTGCAGAGTACGAGCGAAAGCGCAGGCCGTACGCAGAGGCCGTCGCGGCGGAAGCGAGGAAGCAGCTCTTCTTGGGGCAGCTGCAGAGCAGACCGGCTGTATTTTTGAGAGAGGCCTTGCTGCGGCTCGTGCCTACCTGGGTACTGGAGAAGACGCTCAGGCGAAACAATTTTCCCGTACAGGCTTACCTCGACGTCTTTCGAGACTGCGTCGAGCGTGATGACAGGTCGTAGGGACAGGCGAGCGTCGTCGAAAACTCCGGGGAGCGCAAAGACTACTGTGGTTCGTCGCTGCTCGATCTTTATTTCTCTCATCACTCACTGGCAACCGTAATTTATCCAACTCCCCACCACGCACAACATGACAGATCAAGTACCAGTCGTCTCACTTTTTTCGATTACGTAGGAACCGCTTAACATAATGCCCATCGACGAGAAGAAGGCGATGCGCAACGTCTAGAAACTACCCTTGAAGTGTAGACCAGGCAAGTTTTTGTATTGAAAAACGGCAAGGGAAATGCTACCAAAAGGTTGTAGGAAAAAATTTATCAAGACACCCAAGAAATACTGTATACCTTTACCGACATTACCAGCCATCGTACCGCACTGTAGCAACTGTACATAGACCCACTAATATGAGACCGCTACACTACAGTACACAATACGGCAGCAATAAAACGCCCAGTAAACGCCAAAAACCTGAAAAACGTCCTCCGCCCAATCTCATATATTTTGTGTACATCATGGTTCGACACCAAGCAAGAGCTGACCGAAAAAAAACGAACGGGAACCCGCCCGCATTATACAGAGCTCTCATCCCGTAACGCCCATCGCGCTCGATTTCTTCTGCACCCTACCTGTGGATGTGGTCTTGGCACGACCAACAAACCTTCCCTTCACTCTCGGTCTGCTATCGGCCAGCTGCTTGCGGCAGGCATACCGCACTTTTTTCCTAAACGATCGGTTCGCTCGCTTGTGTCGGAACCGTCGAAGCGCCGCTTGCCGATCCAGACGCTTTTGTTCTCTCGATCGTTCCGCACTTGTCAGCGCGGCCCCCTCTATCTTGAGTCCGTCTAATATATCCGCGCCAGGAATACTAATGTCTTCATCCGTAGACAATGAGCTTCCCAGCACGTCGTCGAGCAACGACTGGTCCAGACTGTTTTGCAGTGCAATCTGCGCCGCCGACAGCACCTGCTTGCTGTCGAAACCATGCCGCGTGCCCGTCAAAGTCGTCGATGTACCGTCACACAGAAGGGCGGGTGGGAGCGAGTCTCTCATCCACAAAAAGTCCAAGCCATTGGCATGAGTAGCCTTTGGGGGGCTCTGCCGCTGGCTTGACTCGAACAGGGTTTGAATCTCTTGCTTGACGAACGCACCGGCGATGGTTTTGAGACATTCGGTATTGGTGTCAGCAACCGGGTGAGGAGCACTTTGTGCCTCGTGTGCCCACGACGAGGGTTGTTGGTGCTTTGTGGGAGGCGATAGGGAAATGTCAGCGACTTGAGTGTCGGCGAAAGTGTGGTGCTCGGGGTAGAGGTCGTCCGTGTCCGGTACAACGCCGCCGCCCGACGATTCATCGCTCTCGTCAAAAGCGGTTGCGGCCGACGAGCTCTTGTCGGTGGATTGTGCTCCGTGAAAGTGGGTTGGCGGGCTGTGCTCTACCTGTGGCACGCCCATGTTGTCGAATAGGTTTAGAGGAACACGGGTGTGGCGTCTGGCGAGTTGGTTGGCTTCGTGGACTAGAATATCACAGGCTGTGCATAGGATTGCGGTGTCTGATGGGCAGTAGATGGAGGCGGGCGCAGCGCGGCAGGCGGCACACCAGCGTGGTGTCATCGGAGATTGGTAAATAGGGTGGGAAAAGGGTTTGTGGTACACAGGAATGATACAGTGAGAGTGAAAAGACGAAGGAAGAATTAGGATACAGGGAGCGGAAGTACAAGGAGATGTGCGCGGAGGGTGCGGCGGGGAGTGGGGCGGAAGGGTGGTGTTGGGATGGTTTAAGAAAGGACTAGAGGGCGCCAAGCATAAAGACTTATAGATAGTGGTAACCCATGCGGTAAGCAAAAAGGGTTAAGAAGACCTATCGAATAGGGGCAGTATGTGGGAGATGGTGTCAAACGAACAATCTGCAGGCTTTGTCTCTGTGATTTTCTCATACACATGCGGAGCTTCGCGGTTGATTGGAGTGTGGGGCGCTCGTTGCGAAACACTTGCGGGGCCACCCGCCGCATTGAACCGCCGCCTCACGAATGCCCTGCAGCGATATCAGCCGCTCTTTTCCAGAAATATCCGACCCATCTGTCCAATTATACTGCGTGCCGTTTCAATCGTCGCCTTGTGGAAACGCGGCCAGATACAACCAAAATCCACTTGCGCTCCATCGGGGCGGTGCCATGCCCGTAGTGTTTGGTGACGCTTCGCGAGAGAAACGGTGCCGCCAGTCAGCGCCTTCAACAATGCCGCTCGAAAACACCTGTCGGACAGCACATACAGTACCAAGGGTACTGAACAGGCTCAGGCACCCATCTCCCCCCCCTGCGCCCCCCGCCCCCCTTGCGCCTCCCGCCCTCATTGTTGACAACGGAGGAAATTGCTCTGACATCAGAGCAATTTCCTCGGCGTTCTTGTGACCGCGCAAAATATCCACACAAGATTCCTCACGAAACGACATGCTGGCGCCTGTTGCACCTAGCTCTGCAGACGACGCCGAAAATCTGCCTGGCACCTGGGCCGTCAAGCCGTGCTGTACGCTGCATGGGTATTGGACATCTGTTGTCGTTTGTCCCCTGTAAATGCTAGTAAACTTTAGTTTTTGGCAAAGCTGAAACCAATTTAGTTTGTCCCCGCCAATCATCTTGGTCGACTACATGTGACTGAACTCCGCTCGTAGTAGAGCCAAATCTCGCAAACTCCCAACTGCAGCCAGATTGCCCTTTCCAGCGGTACCGTTCCATCGAATATCATGCTGCTTCACACTCCGATTCATGCTCATCCGGCAAAAAATCAGCACCTTTGTTCATCATTCCTCGACGTAAAACAGTCCCACTGCTCAAAACTCACATATCATTGAAATACATTCTCAGAACGCCGTTTGCATGGAGCTGTTGAGAAACCATGTGTGCATGCATGTCTTACTAATTCACCCCCTCAACGTCAGCTTGTGCAACCGTAACACTGTCCACCGATGTTTACACATTACAATACAATCTGCGATCCCTATGTAAGTGGCATCCACAAAATGACTTCACCATCCACTTCTCAAACCCTTCCTCCATCTTGTGCCTCATGCACTACAGCTAGTTTCTTCCCTTTTTCGTTACTACTGTACTGAAGTACATTGGCCCTTGATTGAAAAATACATACAGCGCTGTACTACCACTCGAAGGGTACACGTACTGCATCGTACTGTACCTCTGTTCTCCTTCTCTCTCACACAGTACAGTAGTACCGCATCACTTCCTTCAGGACCTCGTTTCTAATCTCTTCACCCTTTTCCGCCCGTTCCCCCCTCCCATGGGACTCCGTCTTGCACATGAAGAGCATGTTATCATCACTACAACCGTCATCCCACAAAGGTATTGGATTGGACGCTCTTAAAATGAACCTTCCGAAAGATTGGCAGGAATCGCACTTATTCTCCCTGAAAATTTATGGCGTGCATACATCGAGGGAGAAGAAGAATCAGCTGACAGAAAAGTCTACGTTTGCTCTCCACAACACGTATCAAGAAAAACAACGATCGCAATCGTCGCTGAGGAGAAATGTAGGAGCACTAATTCATTTCGAAAACGACTGAACAACAGATGAAGAGAATTGCAACTGCTACAGTGTGCCGTTTTTGGATTGGCGGTAAAGGCAATGTGAAATAATTATTTTCCCTGTCGCCACACATTGCAACTGCCATTACAAAGAAACTGTTATATCGTCAAAGCACACCCTTACTCTCTTTTTTCCTCCAATCTCCTGCCAGCACACAGAAAACGTTATTGCGTCCATACATGTCCAAACATGCCCGTCCATGCTGTCTTAAAGGAGGCCCTGACAAGCAGCAATGCTCTGTTATGCAGCAAGCCTTAACGTCACGTGATCACGTACCTCTCCAAGGGTAAAGTCGTTTGAGAAGGCTTGGATATAAAGGGGGGGTGCTGCAATTGTCGGACAGTGACAAAAAGATCGGACATGCAAAATATTTTGAAAATTATCTCCGACACGGGCCAAGGTGCACCGCCGCGCGTAACGGCGCCAGACAGTGCGCCGTATCTCAGAACGACGTGGTTGAAATTAAAGAAAAAATATCTCAATCGATTGCTCACAGCTTGCTACGTATAAGAGTGTAACAACCCAAAAATACAAAACAGGCATACTTTTCTATTTTTTTTTAATTTGCTTCGATGTCCGATCTTTGTGCGCGGTTGGGGTGCAAAAGTGTCCGCGCGCTTCAAAAACGGGGCATGTTAAGACACACCCTGAGGGTGTGTCTTAACATTCCCCGTTTTGCTGCGGTTTGCTTTGCCTTGCCCAAAGAGGTGACTTGGCGTGCTATGAGTGGCTCCTACGTTTTAATTTATGCGTTTAAGAAAAGCAACGGCCTAAGAAGCATACGGTATTTGTTAAGAATTTAAAAGTATTCCTGGCAAAACCGGGCAAGGCAAAGCAAAAACCAGCCTGTTAAGACACGCCCTCAATCTCACTACTCGTCTTTGTCCGTGCTTCTTTTCGCCAAGTCCCAGTAGACCTTTCAAGAACATAGCTGGGGCACTCTAAAACACCCAATGCAAACTGTAATCAAAGAGGCGCTTGCTTATTGGACTATGCACATAGGAACATACGCGTCTGCTGCAAATGCCACACACATTAAAAATTTACACCTCACTCAGCAGTACATACGTGGTCAAACGCGGAGATTGTTGCAAACTTTTTGAAAAGGTCTGCTATCGGAAAACCCCCGCTCATTTTTGATATCATGCAGTCATTCGGCAGTTGTTAAATCGCGGTCCCCTCAACACACATCATCCTAATCCCTGTCCCTCATCCCTGTCAAACCGTCCTCACACACTCGTGACTTTCACGAATTCCCCACACCCTTTTCTTTCGCATACGTTATGCAGCAGATTTCGGGCGATGATGCAACAGCAGCGCTGCAGTTGGTGGCAGACGCTGCAGTGGAGCGTGAGCACGAGATCAGAAAGTAGTCTTCCGAGGCTGAGAACTCCGACACAGATGAGGATAACGATTCGGACATGCCGATTTTTGATCAATTCTATGATCGGGGTGGGTCTGCCGGAATAATCTCGATGACAAATTTTACCCCGGACGAGCTCCTGGAGATCTGGGATTCTATAAGGGAGTGTGTGATTGACAAGTACACACGTGGGAGAGGAAGGAGGTCGTCCGTCAAGCCTCGAGACTTATTTTTTATGACATTATGTGTCCTAAAACATGGTGGGCATTGGGATTTCATGGCTCGAACGTTTGGGATGAAGGGACCAACATTTGAAAGGTTAATCGTGGGGTTTGTCCTTTGTGTTTCCGAAGTTTTATACAAGAATGAAATGACCGGTGTGGAGTCCGATTTTCGGGTGGCTCAGCTGATTCAAAATGACCAGCTTTTTTCGTCTTTTAGGAGAGCTCGATACGCGACGGAATTCACCTTTCAGATGGCCTTCCGACCCAGTGGAAATATACAAGAGGGTAAGAAGTATTTCAGCGGTAAACATAAACTCTACGGATATAAAGTGGAAGTTTCTGTTTTACCCAATGGCCTTGCTGTGTGCTGCAGCAAGCACTATCCGAGCTCAACATCAGATTTGGAAATTATGCAACGAATGCGTAACGTTCATGGAAACTTTCTTCTCAAGCATCGCGAAGAGCGCCATCATAACGACTTGGATCCTCTTTCTGTGGAATTCCCGAACCACTGGGGTTTACTTGCCGATAAAGGCTACCAAGGCGGTGCCGAATTTCTTCGTGTGATTCATCCCATCAAGAAGCGCCCTAATCAGCGGCTTTCGCCAACAGAAGAGCGATACAATCGCAAAATTTCCGCCGACCGTATAATATTTGAGAATTTTTTTGGAAGAGCATGCGGATTGTGGTCAGTGCTGGAGAGGAAGTGGCGTTGGTCAAAGGACAACTATGACAAGTTCTTTCGTATATGTCTCGCGCTAACTAACATGCACATTCCGTGGCATCCGCTTCGGTGAGATGATCTGGATCGGTTCCACAGAATGAGGAACCGCACCTACGAAATCGGTTCATCACAAGCTGAGTGGCGCAGAAGCACGCTTGAGCGATACAGACAGAAGCGGAGGCGCAGGATGGACATGCAGTTTCGCGCACAGGTTCATCCCGATACCAAGGATGGTAGAAGTACTTGATTAATGACTTCAGGATATGTTTACTGCGTTCTCAAAACATTTTCAACACCGAATTTACCAAATAAAATGAGGAAGTGCTACATTGCTGGTCAGATAACGGCGGCGCAAGAAAGCACTCTACAGTATCTGAAATGATGCAGTCATTTTGTAAATAGTCGATCTTGGGAGCAGCCGAAAGCATTTGCCCCGGTGATCTAGTAGACAAACGGCTGAGAGTGTTCCCGTCGCAAGACATAAAAAATGGTGATTGCTTGACAATTACAAGTACTTTTTCCTTTTAATATTGAGGTTTTTGTCCGACATTTAGGGCACCCCCCTTTACCCTTATATCAGAAGGGTACAGTACAAGTAGGCTCCATGGCGCGCGTTTCGCGCCCCATGTTTACACAGCATCACGTTTGTAAGCCCCACCTCTGTAAGCCACACACCTCCCCCCCCCCCGCAACCATTTATTTT